TTTATTCTGAGCTGAATAATTGAAAAGATTTTTCTTGTGACAAATTTTATCAATGAAAACCTGGAAAAAGAAATTCAATTAGTTTAGTGGTTTTTAGATATTAAACATTTTGTGGGATGGACAATTATTATATATATATATATATATATATATATATATATATATATATATATATATATATATATATATATATATATATATATAGAGAGAGAGAGAGGGAAGGATGCGATGGGTAAATTATCGCCATTTTATAATCTTAATTTCATGTATGTCTATTGTTTGTTTTTGATTTTATTGACTCCACAGTTTTATTGACTCCACTCTGTCAGAAATTTGGAAATGGTAAGATGTACTGCTTGGCATTCATGATGGAAGCTCCAGTACAAACATTTCAGAATGTTTGGCTGTCAATCTGGGGACAGTGCAGAGGATTTGGAAAGAGTTGGATGAGTCTGATGGTGATTACGAATGTGTTTGAGTGATCACTTAAGATGGTGATGTTATGTCTCCATTCATCTTCCCACAACACCTCAGACTCAACATGGAGATCTACATCAGGTGCCTTGAGGCGGTAGTGCTGCCCTTGGTCAAGAGGGTGTCTGTTGGAGGACACTATGTCTAGCAACAGGACTCTACACCGTGACACATGAGAGGGAGAACCCAGTCATGGCTGTCAGACAGTTTTTGTGACTTCTTGCATCTGGGCACCTAACTCCCTAGATTGCAACCCCCTTGATTATTATGTGTGGGGCACAGTTGAGTGAGAGACCAACAAAACTTCTTGTAACACCAAAGATGAACTGAAGGCAAGGATTTTGGCTGCATTCACCAACTTAAATAAGGAGGCCATCCAGAAGAGTTGCAGGAGATTCCAAAGTCATCTGGAGGCCATGGTTAAAGCCAATGGTGGTTTTATTGAATAAATTTGCTCTTTAGTATTTCAAGATATTTTTGTGTAATTTTGATAAATATATCTGTTAAAATGTACCATTTTCATTTTTGTGTAATTTAGACGACAATTTATCCATCGCACAATATATATATATATATATATAATTGTAGACAGATTGGGAATATTTACTCCTTTTGTGTGTGCTTGTGATAAAATGTGAGAAGAAAAGAATTAGTAAAAGCAAAGAAGGCTGTCTATAGTGTATTATTAAGGTATAATAGATTAATTGAAAAGGTAAGAAGAGAGAGAGAGAGTGAGAGAGAGCTAGAATGAAAAAGAGTGGTGGGGGATATAGTTAGATATAATAAGGTGGAGTTGGTTAGATAAAATTGGAGAGAGAGAGGATATGAAGTGATTGATCAAGTCATCAGAGAGGGAGAGAGATAGAGAGAGATAGAGAATGATAGAGAGAGGACAGGTGTTTGTACTAGAGTTAAAGAGGAAAAATGATAAAAGGTATGTGTGTATGGTGGTTGAGGTTGTAATTGTACAATTTACCACTTCTGCAAGGAAAGCATTGATCTCTCGATACGCTTACCATGAATATTTTTGAAGCTCTCAATAGCAAAGAGATGTTAAAAACAATGAAGAGGCAGGAAAACATATTGAAGAGAGGAGAGTAAAGCTTATAGAAGAAAGAAAGAAAGAAAAAAAGAAAATCAAGAAAGAATGAGGATTGGACAGGAAAACAGAGAGTGAACAAGAACTGAAAGAAAAACAAAAGAAGGCGGAGGAGGAGGTTGAAATTAAAGTAGTGATGGAGGAGGAGGAGACAGAGGAGTTAAAGAAGGTGGTGATGGTGAGGAAGGGGCGGTGGTGATAGAACTCTTGCTTGCATTGCTGCTACTGATGCCTGCTGTTGTCTTTGCCTCTCTCCTACTGCTGCTGCTGCTGCTAGCTCCACTCAGCGCCACTTACCATTTCACAATTCCGGCAGAGGCTAAGCAACCATAACTTTTAACATTGATTAACTTACTCCCTCTGCTTTTTCTCTTTCTTATGACACGGTATTACTGATCATATAGACTCAGAATTGTTATTGCTCTTAGTGCTGCTGCTGCTGCTGCTGATGATAATACATTGAGGTTTTAAGGATCTAACGATGATGATGTTGACAATTGCAGAATAATGTTGCTATTGATGGTTTTAGTGTTGTAATATTATTGTTGTTGTTGCTAATGATAATGGAAAAGGCCAGAGCTGTTATCATTAATCATGCTCATGTTGAAATGTTGATGATGATGGAAAAGTCAATAATGTTGTTATCAGTGATGATACTTGTGTGGTAATGCTGATGATTATTATGATGATGATGATGGAAAAGACCATTGTTATTATAATTGATGATTCTTGTGTTTTAATGATGATGATGGAAAAGTCAATAATGTTGTTATCAGTGATGATGCTTGTGTTTTAAAATTGATGATGATAATGGAAAAGGCAATAATGTTGTTTTCATTGATGATGTTTGTGTTGATGTTAATGATGAGGGAAAGTCTAATATTATTGTTGATGATGCTTGTGTTGTAATGATGATGATGAAGAAGGAAAAGTCTAATGTTGTCAATGTTGATGATGCTTGTGTTGTAATGATGATGATGAAGAAGGAAAAGTCTAATGTTGTCAATGTTGATGATGCTTGTGTTGTAAAGATGATGATGAAGAAGGAAAAGTCTAATGTTGTCAATGTTGATGATGCTTGTGTTGTAAAGATGACGATGAAGAAGGAAAAGTCTAATGTTGTCAATGTTGATGATGCTTGTGTTGTAAAGATGACGATGAAGAAGGAAAAGTCTAATGTTGTCAATGTTGATGATGCTTGTGTTGTAATGATGTAGATGATCATTAAAAAATACCGCTTATTAATGATGATGGTTGTGATGTTATAATGATATTGTTTATGATGATGATGATTATAGTAATGATAATAATGTTGTTATTGGTTATGATAGTTCTCATGTTGTAATGATGTTGATAACAGAGAAAATAATTTGCTTATTTATGATAATGCTTGTGCTGTAATGAGTTTAAACAATAATGTAGCTATTGACAATGATAATAATGATGGCAAATGTAATAATGTTCCATTGTTTATTTAAAATTATCTTGATCATGATGATAGAAATATTAATGCAAATTATGTTGATGTTGTTAATGATGACTGTGTCATTAAATAATGTCACTGAGGATGATGATGACAATGGCAGAGATGATAGTGTAGTTGTTAATAATGATAATGGCTTTTTTCAAAGAGAGAAAAAAAAAAGAAAAATGGTAGTTGAGATATGTAATGAAAACAATGAAAATGAAGAAGAGAAGTGAAGAAAGAAAAAAACAAAAGCATTAAGAGAGGAGGAACTAAGACATGATAAAAGAAAGAAAGTCAGAAGAGGCAATACAGTCTCATACAGCATTTCCCAATCGGTGCACCGGGGTGCATGAATGCACCCTGAAATGTAGCCAGGTGCACCCCAAATTAACAGAAGAGTAATTCATGAATTATTTTTATGTTTGAAAACTTTCATTTATAAAAAAGCTAGAGACACCAAGCACATGGCTTCCATGTCTTTGTCATTTATCATTTTAAAATGGATACTAAAATTCTTAATCTTTAAGGAGTCGATAATCCTTTCCCTTTTGTCTTCTTCAAGTGATTTAAATCAGTCATTATTGGCTTCTCTAAGATAAAATAGCAGATCCTTCATAAATCCCTTTAAATGAAAACTGTACCGCTTATCTTCATATATAAGGTGGAACATTAAAAAACATTGCCAAAGTACATCAAACACAGGTTTCAAACAAGCATAACTATATAATGAAATGTCTTAAAAACAATTGCTTATTTCAAGAGACTTCTTTATTATTTTCAAATTTCATGAGTAATTTATCCTTATTAAAATTTAAAGAGCACCCTAGAGTTTTCGTTATTCTACAAGTGCATTCAGAAGTAAAAAAAAAAAACTTTGAGAAAGACTGGTTTAGTGAGTAGGTTAAAGAAGAACAAACAGATTAGAATGTGGTAAAACGACAGGTAAAAAGTTAAAAAAAGAAATAGAATGAAGAGAGAGAGAGAGTAAAGGAAGAGAGAGAAAAAGAAAGAGAGAGATAACACAAAAAAGGAGTAAGAGTTTGGAAAGAAAACTGTAACAAAGAACGAGGAAAATTACACAAAGTAAAAAAAGAAACAAAAAAAAGAAGCAAAATGAGGAAAGAAAATGAATTCTCTAACAATGAAGATAATAATGGCAGAAAAATCAGCCTAATGATGAAGATAAATGACTATGTTTCATGCAAGTAATGACCATACAATAATAAAGACCACTTGAAGAAAAATATCAGCACCGACAAGGAATAACTATTAGCTCAAAGATATACCACAGGGTAATACCTGGCATTAGTCTTCTAATCCTGTTAGAGTTGAAGCAAAATCGAAATAGTTATGAGCTGTAACTGATAATAATAATAATAATAATAATAATAATAATAATGGAAATGTTGATTAAATTGCAATTATTGAGATGACAATGATGATGACGACAATTTCTAAGATGATAATGCTAGCCTTAAATTTTGATAATATTTCTTAATGATGTTGCTAAGATAATAATGGTTGTGCTGATAATATCTGTGACTGATGACAAAGATTTTGTTTGCGTATCCACTGCCGACAATGATGGAAATAAATAATAAAAAAAAGATGATAATGTTGATTGTAAAAATGGCTGATGATAATAATGTCAATTGTCGAAATCTCCTTTCATTAGTGATTTTATTAAGTTTGTATTGATAATGATGATAACTTGTTTGATTAATGCTAATTATGGTGATAAAGAGAGAGCAATGGAATTTGTGGAAAAGCAGACAGTCGTAATGTTTCAAATGATATTATGTTGACTAAAGTGATGTGGGAGTTTTTATGTCGCTTTACACTTTTTCTGTATTAATTCATTTCTTTTTTTTGCTGTTTCTGTTATTAGTTTTTGTGTTTTTAATCATTTCAGTATTAGATTTTTTTTTTAATTTTGTTCTTTGTACTACATTTCTCACCATGACTTCTGCTATTTCTCTTTTTTTTCTTCTACTTTGTCTCTACAAGTTTTGCTCTTACTCTTCTGCTCTCTCTCTCTCTCTCGTACTTATACTCTTTTTCTCTCAGGCTTCAGCTGTTTTCCTTCTCTTCTTTTTTCTCTCTTCAAGTACTCTCTCTCTCTTTCTCTCTCTTTCTCCCCCTTCTATACTTTCTCCCTTTTATTTCTACTCTTACATTTCTGTTTGTTCTCATTGAATTTTTTTAAACTAATCTCTTTCTCTCTTTTCCATCGATTCTTTATTCTCTATTTGATTTCCCTCTTTCTCTTCTACACTTTCACCTTTCTTCTAGTCTTTCTTTCACTTTGTTGTGTAGGAAACCTACCACCCCTCTTGAAGATGAACTTGTCTACAAACAAAGACGTTAAATAGTGGCATGTCAAAAGACAGAGTCAGAGAAGTTCTTGGCTGAGTGGTTTTATAGACTATCATGCGATTTCTGTACTTACTTACCAACCGAATAAACCCCTTTTATTTGTTACGTGTTATTTGGTGTTTGTCTTTATTAACCCCAAATTAACATCATAACAGTAAGACAAATGCCAAATAACACATAACAAATAAAAGGGGTTTATTCGGTTGGTAAGTAGGTACAGAAATCGCCTGAGTAGTCTATAACTAACTCAGCCAAGAACTTCTCCGACTCTGTCTTTTGACATGCCACTATTTAACGTCTTTATTTGTAGACAAGTTCATCTTCAAGAGGGGTGGTAGGTTTCCTACACAACACACTTCTTCTTCTTCTTCTCTCTCTCTCTCTCTCTCTCTCTCTCTTTCCTTCTACTCTTCTTTCTACATTCAACTGGACTTTTCTTCTGCTTTTATTTCTTTTCTTTTTTCTACTTTCTCTCTTCAACTTCTACTCACTTTTCTACTCTTTCTACTCTCTTAGACTTCTCTTTCTCCTTTTCTGTCTAACCTTTCTGGCTACAATTTTTACTCTTATTTTTTTTTCGTTTCTACTCTTCCTCTATTCAACTTTTGCTTTTCCTCTTTTTCTCCTACACTCTTTTTTTCTAAACCAGCTTTTTCCTCTGTCTCCCTTTTAGATCTTTCTCTTATTTTTGTTCTCTTTCCCTTTTATGATCCCTCTTTTTTCTTCTACTCTTTCTCTCTTAGACTTCTGCTTTTTCTTCTTCTTCTACTCCTTCTCTTTTTCCTCTACTCTTTCTCTCTTAGACTTCTGCTTTTTCTTCTTCTTTTATTCTTTCTCTTTTTCCTCTACTCTTTTTCTCTTAGTCTTCTGCTTTTTCTTCTTCTTTTACTCTTTCTCTTTTTCTTCTACTCTTTCTCTCTTAGTCTTCTGCTTTTTCTTCTTCTTTTATTCTTTCTCTTTCTCTTCTACTCTTTCTCTCTTAGATTTCTGCTTTTTCTTCTTCTTTTACTCTTTCTCTTTTCCCTCTACTCTTTCTCTCTTAGACTTCTGCTTTTTCTTCTTCTTTTATTCTTTCTCTTTTTCTTCTACTCTTTGACTTCTGCTTTTTTTTCTTCTTCTTTTACTCTTTCTCTTTTTCTTCTACTCTTTCTCTCTTAGTCTTCTGCTTTTTCTTCTTCTTTTATTCTTTCTCTTTCTCTTCTACTCTTTCTCTCTTAGACTTCTGCTTTTTCTTCTTCTTTTACTCTTTCTCTTTTTCCTCTACTCTTTCTCTCTTAGACTTCTGCTTTTTCTTCTTCTTTTATTCTTTCTCTTTCTTCACTCTTTCTCTCTTAGATTTCTGCTTTTTCTTCTTCTTTTACTCTTTCTCTTTTCCTCTACTCTTTTCTCTCTTAGTCTTCTGCTTTTTCTTCTTCTTTTTATTCTTTTCTTCTTACTCTTTTCTCTTAGACTTCTGCTATTTCTTCTTTTTTTACTCTTTCTCTTTTCCTCTACTCTTTTTTCTCTTAGACTTCTGCTTTTTTTCTTCTTTTACTCTTTTCTCTTTTCCTCTACTCTTTTTCTCTTAGACTTCTGCTTTTTTTCTTCTTTTATTCTTTTTCTTTTCCTCTCTTTCTCTCTTAGTCTTCTGCTTTTTTCTTCTTTTTATTCTTTCTCTTTTTTTCTACTCTTTTCTCTTAGATTTCTGCCTTTTTTCTTCTTCTTTTACTCTTTCTCTTTTCCCTCTCTTTTCTCTTAGTCTTCTGCTTTTTCTTCTTCTTTTATTCTTTTCTTTTTTCTTCTCTTTTCTCTTAGATTTCTGCTTTTTCTTCTTCTTTTACTCTTTTCTTTTCTTCTACTCTTTCTCTCTTAGACTTCTGCTTTTTTCTTCTTCTTTTTTATTCTTTCTATTTTTCTTCTCTTTTCTCTCTTAGATTTCTGCTTTTTTCTTCTTTTTTTTACTCTTTTCTTTCTTCTTCTACTCTTTCTCTCTTAGACTTCTGCTTTTTTCTTCTTCTTTTATTCTTTCTCTTTTCTTCACTCTTTTGACTTCTGCTTTTTTTTCTTCTTCTTTTTTACTCTTTCTCTTTTCCTCTACTCTTTCTCTCTTTGACTTCTGCTTTTTCTTTTTCCTCTCTCTTTCTCTCTTAGACTTCTGCTTTTTTCTTCTTCTTTTTTACTCTTTCTCTTTTTTCTTCTCTCTTTCTCTCTTAGACTTCTGCTTTTTCTTCTTCTTTTATTCTTTCTCTTTTCTACTCTTTCTCTCTTAGACTTCTGCTTTTTTTTCTTCTTTTACTCTTTCTCTTTTCTACTCTTTCTCTCTTAGACTTCTGCTTTTTCTTCTTCTTTTATTCTTTCTCTTTTTCTTCTACTCTTTCTCTCTTAGATTTCTGCTTTTTCTTTTTCTTTTACTCTTTCTCTTTTTCTTCTACTCTTTCTCTCTTAGACTTCTGCTTTTTCTTCTTCTTTTATTCTTTCTCTTTTTCTTCTACTCTTTCTCTCTTAGATTTCTGCTTTTTCTTCTTCTTTTACTCTTTCTCTTTTCTTCTACTCTTTCTCTCTTAGACTTCTGCTTTTCTTCTTCTTTTATTCTTTCTCTTTTTCTTCTACTCTTTCTCTCTTAGATTTCTGCTTTTTCTTCTTCTTTTACTCTTTCTCTTTTTCTTCTACTCTTTCTCTCTTAGACTTCTGCTTTTTCTTCTTCTTTTATTCTTTCTCTTTTTCTTCTACTCTTTCTCTCTTAGATTTCTGCTTTTTCTTCTTCTTTTACTCTTTCTCTTTTTCTTCTACTCTTTCTCTCTTAGACTTCTGCTTTTTCTTCTTCTTTTATTCTTTCTCTTTCTCTTCTACTCTTTGACTTCTGCTTTTTTTTCTTCTTCTTTTACTCTTTCTCTTTTCCCTCTACTCTTTCTCTCTTTGACTTCTGCTTTTTTTTTTTCCTCTACTCTTTCTCTCTTAGATTTCTGCTTTTCTTCTTCTTTTACTCTTTTTTTTTTCTTCTCTCTTTTCTCTCTTAGACTTCTGCTTTTTCTTCTTCTTTTATTCTTTCTCTTTTTTCTTCTACTCTTCTCTCTTAGATTTCTGCTTTTTTCTTCTTTTTTACTCTTTTCTTTTTTCTTCTCTTTCTCTCTTAGACTTCTGCTTTTTCTTCTTCTTTTATTCTTTCTCTTTTTCTTCACTCTTTCTCTCTTAGATTTCTGCTTTTCTTCTTCTTTTTACTCTTTCTCTTTTTTTCTACTCTTTCTCTCTTAGACTTCTGCTTTTTTCTTCTTCTTTTATTCTTTCTTTTTTCTTCTACTTTTTCTCTTAGATTTCTGCTTTTTTTTCTTCTTTTACTCTTTTCTTTTTCTTCTACTCTTTTCTCTCTTAGACTTCTGCTTTTTCTTCTTTTTTTATTCTTTTCTTTTCTTCTAATCTTTCTCTCTTAGATTTCTGCTTTTTTCTTCTTTTACTCTTTCTCTTTTCTTCTACTCTTTCTCTCTCTTAGACTTCTGCTTTTTTCTTCTTCTTTTTTATTCTTTCTCTTTCTCTTCTACTCTTTGACTTCTGCTTTTTTTTCTTCTTCTTTTACTCTTTCTCTTTTCCCTCTACTCTTTCTCTCTTTGACTTCTGCTTTTTCTTTTTCCTCTACTCTTTCTCTCTTAGACTTCTGCTTTTTCTTCTTCTTTTACTCTTTCTCTTTTTCTCCTACTCTTTCTCACTCTGACGTCTATTCTTTTCTTCTACTTTTCTTTTTTTTTCTCACTTGACACCCCATTGTATTTATTTATCTGCTGACCTTCCTTCATTGTCCCTTGTTTGATCTCAAACCATTTACTCAACGTTTGTCTTCAACTCTTCCCAATTAAGGACTTATGATTGCCTAACACACTCTGCTTATATCATTTTGTTTACTGCCTTGATAAGATGTCACTTGCTCTTCCTTTCTGTCACTGCGTGTTGTAGGGGTGTAGGGGAAAAGATGAAGAAAAAATAGCAAAGAGCCAACAGAAGGTGAAGCAAAACATAGAAAAGATAATTGCAGAGAGGTGAAATCAACCAGTATATTTTAGAAAAATCTTTGAATATTGACTTTGTTTGTTCAGACAAATTCTGCTATTTTTTGATGCTTTTGTAACAGAAAGGGTCACCAATTTCCTTGAATATTCTATTATAAATTTGTGTAAGACTAAATTTTGTCTGTGTGTCCCCTTATGTAAGATGTGTAGGGTGGTGTAATGGATATTGGCTCTGAATGAGAAACCAACGTACCCAGTTTGCATTCCAGTCAGGTTTGTTACATTTACTTACATGCAAATACGCTTGAGAAATGTATGAATCCATTGCTTCTTCCCACCCCAGCAATGTGTTGAATAGAAGACCAGACTGTATCCTATAGCCTTGGCTGGCAACTAATTGACCATGGCAAGAAATGGCCAAAACATAGATGTAGCAGCAGTATGGTCTAAGGCTCTGTTGAACTCTAATTCTATAGGAATTCTAAATCACTAATTCACTAAATTGCAGCCCATCATCCTGCTATCTCAGTGGAAGATGTTAAGCTCTTTGTCTCTTTTTGCATCCAGGATGTGGACAGAAAACAAAAACTCACCTATCCCTCTTCTGACACCACATACTGGACATTAATCGAACATGAAATAAGTTACTTATTTTTTCATAATGTGTTCATGTAATGGGATTGGCAAATAGTATTTGCATATGTTGGTTATTGGAAAAATAAAGTGTAGAGTAAAGAGTCAAATGGAAGGAAGTTGAACAACCCAATATGACAATATGGTATTGCTGATAGGATGTTTAAGTTGCTTGGATGAACCAGAATTTGTCATGACTTGGATCCGGTGTTTTGCAGCCAAGGCTAGGGCTAGAAAAGTGAAAGAAATGAACTAACTGACCTTTTCCTATCTTCGGCAGGCTGTGTAGCTATAATGAAGGTTTCTGTTATGGCGTACCCCACACAATTGGAGAATTTGACTTTTGTCAAAGTTTCAGAAATGATGAAAAGAAATTTACAACCTTAAAAGAAACTTTTCTGTCCATTAAACAGAAACAAGATGAATCAGTTAATTTGCAGTGTAACACCCGTGCTCAGTTTGCATTAAAAATTTCTGTAATACTTACATTTATCCATTTTAATCTCGCTTGATAAATTTGATAAAATCTACTATTTTGGAGTTATCAACAGGGAAAGTTGAGATTCATTCGTGTTGCAGGTAGCCATTACTGGCATTATTTGGATACATCCACTGCAGAATAGCTATCAGTGTAGGTATCCTTATGCAAACTGAGCATGTCTCTGTAAATAGTTCTTGTGCACAGTAGTTCAGAAAAATTTAGACAAGAAAGATCAGTTCTGTGCTTAGCTTTCCGTAGTCTTCCGCGTTTAGCTTTCTGCAGCGAATGTATGCAAACAACGCAAGTAATTGCTGCCACCAATGATGCGAATGAATGTGAAATTTCACTGTTGATAACTCCAGAACAGTAGATTTTATCAAATTTATCAAGCCAGATTCGAATGGAGCATGTACAATTACACATAAATGTAAGTATTCTGGAAGTTTTTAATACCAAATGAGTGTGGGTGTTACACTGCAAATTAACCAATGAATCAATTATACAATATCTTCACAGATTAAGAGAAGTTAGCAGATTTCGTGAATTCAAGAAACTGGTTCAAGGTTTCATGCTATATTTATATAATAATAACTTGAACATGTGTTTGGTTACAAAAGTGTCTATCATGGCGTATGTTTATTAATTAATGCACAATTTTTGCATGCTTTTCTGTATTTGTATGAAAGTGACTGAAATCAATATGCATGATTATTACAGACCCTTCTTTGGATTTGGTCAAGAATCTCGAGAACAGGAGCACCAGATCAGGTATGACAATGGTATTCCATGCACAGGCGAATGCTAGATTTGTAAATGTACAAGATGGATTCTGATGAGAAAAACTTTCTTGTAAGACACAGTGACACAACTTTCCTTGCAGTATATGCAGCTATTGCTTTGATGTAGTTCCTCCACTTCAAGCCAGTGGAAAACCTGAGACCAAGAAGGTGCAGTCTATAGCAAACCTAGAGTCTAGCATCAGACATACTAATGGCAGGCAGAAAAAGTTCTCTATAGTGGTTAAATGAAAGTAGTTTTGTTTTGGAGATATTAAAATTTACAAACCATTTCTTGCCCCAGTTACCATTGATTGGAGGTCCTTTTTAAGAGCAAGTGCCAGATTTACTTCAACATATCTGCTAGATTTGCTATTGAGACAGGAGTAAATGGTAGTGTCATTGATATAAATACCTTCTTAGGAACTCAGGGAGAGCATTGATGATGATCAGAAATAGGACCCAGAATAAAGCCTCAGTTTTTTCCACTATTTAATTTTAATTATTTCCTGCTTCAGATCATCAACATGCATTTCCATACAGTAAAATGGTGAACCAAAGTTAATGCCATGTTATATCTCTTTCTGCAGTAAAATGTTGAACTAGGGTTACCACCCTGTTATACCATACCTTGTTAAAGGTTTTTGAGATATCAAAAGTGATCACTCTTGTGATTAATTTATTTTCAAGTGCCTCACTGATTCTGTGTGTATTGAAAATTAAAACATCAGCAGTGGACATAGAGCAGCAAAATCCATACTACTTGCCATTCAGGAGGTTGTTTCTGTTGAGGTGATCAACAATCTTCTTGTTGATGATTCAAAGATGTTGCTCATGAGAATAAGGCAGCTGATGGGTTGATATTGAGATGGGGATGACTCCCCTCACCCCCTGCTGCATTCTTGAAGACAGAGCAAACAGTTGACACCTTCTGTAAATTTAGGAAACATTTTTTCTTCAAGCAGCAACGAGGCAACTTAGCCAAGACTGGATATAACCCTGGACTATGGTTCTTAAAAACACTGAAATTTTATTCAGTACTGGGCCTTCTTCTTCTTCTTCTCTTCATCATCATCATCATCATAATAATAATAATAACAACAACAACAAGTTGTTCATTTGATGGTGCAAATGCATTCCTTTTCAAACATGGAACGTATTACAAAAGAAGGAATTTAAACCTTTTGAAACATTTTTAGATACAGAAGATTCAAAAAAAAAAAAAGAAATTAAAAAACACCTATGAAACCACAGTAATATCTCACAAAAAACCATCACATGAATATATGACACTTCAACAACTGCTTTCAGTAACCACTTCCTTGAGTGGCTCTTGGGACTTGTATAAGGTGGTCATTAGCCAACACAAGAAAATATCCCATTTCAACAAATGAGATGATACCATAACTAACTAGTATTCTAAACCAATGTTTTCAACATTTTTTTTATCTCACAGTACACTTAAACAAACCTATAGTTAAACTTCTGATGGTTATCTAAAAATAAGATGATAAAAAAAAAGAGTCTACATTTTATGACTTATTTAACACAGCAAAACAATTTATTATAATCTGTAATAAAAAGATAATAATTAAAATTATATATTATGTATACCTTTATTTATTATAACAATGATATATAATCAATTTAAAGTGGGGGGTCTTAATTTTGATATGTATACTTATTGTGCTTTGGCCTTTGTTCAAAAATAATTTAATTAATGACCATTAAAACCTTTTATTGCACACCTACAATCCTCTCACAGTACACCGGGGTGTCATGGCATACCAGTTGAAAATCTCTTCCCTAAACTCATTACAAATATCTCAAAGAAACACACTCTCTGTCACTTTCTTGCTCACAATAAAACAAATTTTTATCTTTTTCTGAGCTATTCTTTATTACTTTAAACATTATTCTAGTGGCTTTAGTGGATACCCATAGCTGAGTAGATGCCCTGATTTTCTTGTTTGTTTTGATTTTTAACATTTTGAATTATGTCTATCAGCCTCTGCATTCGAGAAACTGATTAAAAAAATTAGCTTCCCATCAGAATTCTAACCTACGTCTTCTTTTATGAAAAAAAACCATTGGCGTCATTTAGATTATTCAGTCACAGATCACCGATGATGGTTTCCTCCACAAAGGAGAGGACACAGGTTTAAACACTGCCAGAGAGCACGTTTTCTTTATTAAGTCTTTTTAGTGCACTGCCTAGTAGATTTAAATCACACTATTAAAAAAATAAAGAAAAAAAACGTCTACTCAAATATGGCTATCCACTAAAATAATGTTTGGAGAAATAAGAGCCTTAAATTCTGCTGCTGCTATATGTGTATTTTGATCAGCAAGTTTGATGTGTGT